GTGTGTGTGTGTGTGTGTGTGTGTGTGTGTGTGTGTGTATGTGTGTGTGTGTGACAACTTCTTTATCCAGTCATGTGTTGATGGACTTTTAGGTTATTTCCATGTCTTAGCTGTTGTAAATAGTGCTGGTGTGGACACTGGGGAGCGTGTATATAGAACTTCCACGCCTCGTTTTTTAGTGGCTGGGTGTGCTCAGTGTAAGGGCATGTGTGTATAGTTGGGGAGCTGGAGAAAGTGGTGCTATGAAGTTTGATCAGGGCTTTATACCAAAAACTTGCAGAGAGGCATTTCCTTTAAATTCAGGAAAAGACAAAGATGCCCGCTGTCACCATCACTGTCTAATATAGTACAGGACGACTTCAGTCAGCCCTATAGAGAAAGAAAAACAGGAGCTCATAGGGTTGAAGAGGAAGAGGTAAGAACTAATCATTTTTTGCTGATGATATGATCATCAATCTAGAAGAAACAGTAGAGTAAAAAACCATTAAAATTAATAGGTGTACATTAAGGTTGCCAGCTACAACACGAAGCCACAGAAACAGCATTTCTGTAACCATCAATAGCCAACTAGAAAATGTGGTTAAAATGTTATTCACAGTAGAAACAATATCCAAAGTATGGGAAGAGCCTTAAGAGTGCCATTCACACTTCAGAGCTCTAACCAAGAACAGAGCAGGCTCTGAATAAAGGGGGAATGACAGTGCTCTACAGGTGTCAGACGTCCTCCAGTTTTGTGAGAAACCCAGAAACTGACGCTAGGGTTTAGGGAGGAATGAAGGTCTAAATATTAGCTCAGTTACCTTTAAAGATTAGGCGACTAGTTCTACCAAATATTACAAAGCAGGTGCTGTTTTTTTAAAAAGTGGGTGTTGGTGTAAGAACAGTCAAAACACTAACGGGTGGGATAGAGATTTCGGAGGTGGATAACCCACAGACCACTGAGGGAAAGATGGATTGTTGATGGAGAATGTTGGGGAAATGGTTCACTGGAGAAAAATGAAGCCCTTACCTAACCACACACAGAGGTGGATTCTAGATGAATGAAGACATAAGTATGAGAAAGATCAAGTTAGTAGAAGGGGCTGTAGGAAAATCTCCTATGACCTCGGGATGGGAGGACCCGGAAACAGAACTTCCACAGCAGGAGCCATGAGGCAAAACAAAGCCAAGAAAAGATGGACTGGGTCACTTCAGAGTAGGGCTGTCTGCCCAGGGAAGGGCATCTCAGACACAGCCGTCCGGCAGAGGATGGGAGATGGTCGCAGTGTCACCAACAAGGGAGCAATACTTTGAGTGTGCAAATCAGCAAGAGGACAGAAACCCCAGTTTAAAAAAGAAACCAACAGGCAAAGGCTGTAACAGGCTCACAGGACAGAGACGCCCAAAACGAGTAGTGATGAAAGAAATGCAGATTATAGCACTTACGGGACTGGCGGCAAACGGTGAGAAGGTAGGGAAGTGCTGAGTGTCGCAGGGCTATGGGGGCACAGGGTCTCGTGCTGTCCTGGAGGAGCCAGGAGGGAGTCAGCTGGGTGGTCTACAGAGGCATGGCAGGCCCTCCCCAGGATGGATGCTGATGGGGGCCGTGCAGGGGCAGGGACTCGCTGAGCCGGCGTACAGGATGGCAGGGTGGTGGGGGGGGGGTGTGTCTGTCTGCGGGTCCCATGCACCTGCAAGAAGCTGCTACTCACACGTACGCACAGCGAGCCGGGTGGCTCTTCGTAAAGTACGCTGAGCGAGAAAACAAACAGTGAGACAGAAACACGCTGAAAATAGACAAGTACACGGAATTTTTCTCTAAGAACAAATACAGGCAGATAAGCACTGAATAGACTGCTGGGCCTGGGAGCGGGGAGGGAACCGAAGCAAAGGGCACCCAGACTGGAAAGAATAGAAAAAACAAGGGATAAAGAATTTTTGAGTATCATCGTAATCATCTTTTTTTAAAAGCTGAAGTCTAGTTGACTTAGTGTCAGTTTCTGGCGTATAGCACAGTGACTCTGTTCCACAGACATACACTCCTTTTCATTATAGGCCACACAAGGTAATGAATATAGTTACAGTTCCCCGTGCTCTACAGTAGGCCCCTGTTGTTAGCTATTTTATGTACAGCGGTGTGTATCTGCAAGCCCTGAACTCCTGATTGACCCGCACCAGCCGCCCCCCCGGCCACGAGTTGGACAGGGTGGTGGATGGAGAGGTGAGGACCGCTAATCTCCGTCCAGTCACTGTCTCGTGTCCCCGTGACACAGGGTGGAGGCTCTGCGGGAGGCGGCCACCGCTGTGGAGCAGGAGAAGGAGGTCCTCCTGGAGATGATCCACAGCATCCAGAACAGCCAGGACATGCGGCAGATCAGCGAGGGTGAGCACGGCAGGGGCGGGGCGGGGGGCCGGGGGCAGCCGGCGGCCTCAGGTTTCCACGCCTCACTCCTTCATTCTGGGCTTTAGAAGTGCCTGGACTGGACAAGACGTGAAGGCAGAGGACAGGGTGAGAGGCTGGAAGCAGAGAGGACAGAGGAGATGCGCTGAGGTGTCACAGGGAGGGGAGAAATGCAGAGAACAGATTAGGACCCAGCACAGCCATTTCCATGTGGAGAGCGAGCCGGCCTGTGCTGGCCGTGGTCCCCGCTGTGCTCCAGCCCCAGACCGCTCCATCCATGGCGGGTCTGTCTCTTCACCATCCCCACGAAGGAATGGACTGGGAAGGGAGGGACAGGTTGCTGATGTCCCTATGAACAAACAGTGAGATGCTGGCACAGCACCTTTCCCCACCCAGTCCTCCTCCCCCTGGCCAGGACTCAGACCACTGCCTGCCTGAGTCTGTCCGCAGAGGGTAAAGTCAGCGCCTCATTCTGAGATCAGCTTTTCCTCCAGTATCAGGGCTGTTTTCTCAGCCAAAATTGAGGCACTGTACTCTGATACACATGCAGAACGTGCAGATATGCCTCTTTGACGTAAGGATTATCTTGAGCTGATTTTGAGAGACTGCAGACACAGGAGAAGCTCTGAAAACAGAACAGAAGTTACTCCTTTGTCAGGGAAGTTTACATTTATAAAGGAAATTTCCATCTGGAAGGGCATCTCCCTCTTTGTACCAGGGAGAGGATGACGTAAATTACAGGAAACTCATCAGTGGAGAAGCACCCACTACAGCTACATAAAAACCTGACCTCTGTTTACTGTGCCTTCCTGTTGCCTCTTCCCTCCCCAGCATCTCGGGCTGAGGATGGTACTTAAGGTGGAGGTTTGGCCATATCGGGAGTCACTCAGTTTCCCTGGGGATCTCCCTGTATAAGACATGTATACATGTTGCTAAACTTAAGGGTTTTTCCCTGTTAATCTGTCTTTTACTACAGGGGGACTCAGTCAAAAGCTCAGAAAGGTGGAGGGACGGTAATTTTTCCTCGCCTACATGCACAACCTCACGGAGACCCAGGACACCTGCTCTCCTTGTCTGACCAGCACAAAACCACAGTTACACTCACTGTTCACTCTGTTAAGACCCGTCTCCTTCCCAGTTACAAATGCACATCCGCCCAAGTTCTGCAGACTTGACAGCCTGAGAAGTCACCTGGTGTCCTTCACGGAAACACCTTCAGGGAGACAGTCTGCAGCCTGTCAGGCGTCTGATGCCCTGTTAGCCAGTCGCATTGCTGTGGTTTTACTTCTCACCTGTAAGAAATTCACAGGTGCTTCCAGAATAGATTTAACCACAAACGAACGCCTTAGTGTTCTCGACATAGATGAGTTTCTGTCTCACACTGATTGATATTTCACACTCTTCATGTTTAGGAGAAAGAGAAGAATTAAATCTGACTGCAAACCGCTTGATGGGGCGAACCCTGACAGTTGAAGTTTCGGTGGAAACAATACGGAACCCCCAGCAGCAGGAGTCCCTCAAGCACGCCACCAGGATCATCGACGAGGTGGTCAGCAAGTTCCTGGACGACCTGGGGAACGCCAAGAGCCACCTCATGTCGCTGTACAGCGCGTGCTCGTCTGAGGTGCCGCCTGGGCCGGTGGACCAGAAGTTTCAGTCCATAGTCATTGGCTGTGCTCTTGAAGATCAGAAGAAAATTAAGAGACGCCTGGAGACTCTGCTTAGAAACATTGAGAACTCTGACAAGGCCATCAAGCTGCTGGAGCACTCGAAAGGCGCGGGGTCCAAAGCGCTGCAGCAGAACGCTGAGGGCAGGTTCAACTAGTTTCAAGCCTAAGAGCCCTTCTAAACGATGACCTAAAGATGGTAAGATACTGTTTTATGTGATAACTAGTTCTTTCTGTTAGGCGTAACAACGGATTTGGTATTGATAGCTGTTTCTGGCGAGGAAAATATTCCAGTGTTGTTAGTTTTATGAATAACAAAGCTAGAAATATTTTGATTATACCTTTCTAGAAGTTTTTAGATGGGATCCTTGTCTTATACTAGGCTCGAGCACTCATACATGTGCACTTTTACTCTTCTGTGGACGAACACTCCGCTCGCGAGGGGCCAAAGCACCACGGTCCTCTTGGGGGCTTTGTGCGGCGCGAAGGCACGCGCCGGACCAGACACGCTGCGCCGAGGGGAGGCGCTCCCGCACCGCCGCCGGTCGCCAGGCATCTGCGTCACAGCGTTTTGAACCTTCTCAAGATTTATGCATCTCATGATATGAATGTATTTCTTGATATACAGGAAAACGTGATATGAGAGAATTCACCTCTGTACCACTGTCAACAACCGTATCTCCATGTTTCCAAATGCATCATTTCTTCCAATGTTTAATCATTACAGAAAGACAATGTTGTAACTTGCTTTTAGAAAGAAAAATTAAATGCTTTTTATAAAGTCTGCTTTTAATTCTCAGCTGACAGACCTCTGCTCTGCGTAGCTGCATGCTTTGCTGACCCACTACCCTAACTGGTCACTTAGGTTGTTTCCAGTTTGTTGCTTGTTTCTGCCACGTACTTGAGTGCGTGGAGCTTTCCCCTTCTCTCTTGTGTTTTTGATTTTCTTTGTATCAATTCCCAGCAATGGGATTTAATGGGTCAAAGGATACATACATTTTAATGGTATGTTTCCAGTTTTTTGTATAAAAGTTAAATCAATTTATACTTTCCTCAGTAATTAAAGAGTAGCTATTTCACTGAAAGCTTTTCAGCACTGAGCATTTTTTCCTAATACTAGGTTTAAAACACCTTTAGATTGCACTTTGTTCTCTAACAAGGTTGCCAGTGTATTGACTGTTCTTTTGTCTGTGACAAATGAAGCAACCAGAACACTTTCATTTGTTCAAAGAAACTAGTGCTGTTGATACACAAAAACTTCCAACTTCCCCAAACACTGCTTCAAAATGAACACATCAAATTCAGTTTTCATTAAAAGGGAGGTATTCTTTCAGTTTTCTTCTTCTTCTTTTGAGTAAAGGTAGATTTACTTAGAGACGCATACGGCACAGAGCGTGGTCTCTTTCAGAAGGCACTTTCACTCTGGTTTTCACACAGTGGTTTTATGCGTTTACGTCTCTCTTCATAAAAGGCAGTTACAGTCTGAGGACAGTCCTGGTTTTCACCGCCAGCCCGAGGCAGCCTCATCTGAGTCTTTCTTTGCGCGTCGCGGGAACAGCCACTGTCGCTCATACCGTGGCCGCCGCCGCCTCTTGACTTGTCAGACTAGTCTGCTCCCATCAGGGTCGCTGTTACAGGTTTTCCTTTGGTGCCATCTTTTTCTTTATAAGCTTTCTGAAAATTCAGCAGGCAATCCAGTTTTCCTCAAGTTCTCAAAGGCTGTCGGCATCCTTTACTTGCCCCCTCCCCTTCCTGGCCCTTCCTCTCTGGGGAGCACCCCCTTCCCGCTCACCCACGTCAGCCCAGGCCTTTCTCTGCCTCCTCTGTACTCACCCCGCTTGGCAGACCCAAGAGCTGCCCCAGGCCCTGGTCTGCAGGGCCCCACCGCCAGCTCATGGGGCCTCACTGTGTCCATTCATTATTTATTTACAAGAATGGAAGTGTAATTTAATTTCAGAGAATGAAACTCCCTAGAGTCACACAAACCTTCATTTCACCTCACCCCACGGAGCATGGGACAGACAGGCTCGCCCCGCACGGGAGCAGGGGGGCGTCAGGCACTCTGGGCGGACGAGGGTCTGGTCCGGCTTAGCGTGCCCTGCCCCGGGGTGAGCAGAACAGGGCACGTGGGGCACAGTTTGCGCAGGCACTGGACAGAGGGTGTCGGAAAAGACTGAACTGTCCTGGTGCTTGGATCCAGGGCGCACCATGAGCACATCTCCAAATGCAGTCCAGACCTCAGGTCTGAAGACGACACCGGCCAGGGCAGGGGGTGGGGCAACACGCAGGCACAGGGTGAGCCAGGGATTGACGGGCGCCGTGCCCACGGCCGACACAGAAAGCCCCCGTGCAGTCAGCCTGAGCTGCGGCCGCTGTGCCACAGCACGAGGTAAACGCGTCTATTATGGGGGGCGGGGGCGGGAAACAAAGCTTCAAAACGAGACAAGACAGCTCTTCTCTAAAACGATGGTGCTGATAATCAGAAGGGAAACAGCTTCCAAAGCAAAATGGTCTAAATCACAGTGCTACTAAGTTGCATTCAGTATCAATAAAATAAATATGCTAAATATTGGCAGAGTACCTGAAAAATGACATATGTATAAAGAAGTCACTTTATGCCTTTTGCTGTCTGGTCCCACACTGGTGACACAGGTCACAAAATTCTCGTGTTGAGACGCATTCACTTGCTGCTTGCCCGCATTCATCTTTCATGACATTGTTACTGAGGCGTATGTGCTAAACTAAGCTTGAGGGCACACGTGCAACCAACAGCCGCACACACAGCGGCTTCCCACTCAGATGTGCACAAGCAGTACTGAGTGGTAATGAAAATACAGACGGGGCTTCAGTTTTCCTCTAAACCCGAAGTTTCTGTTTTTAGGAGACCCTTTACCAACACCCTACAGATCTTCCGAGAGAGAAGAAAAGGAAACACTGCCTGGTTAAGGTTCTTACAGTCAGTCACCCAGGGGCCTGGGCGCGTCAGGCCCCACTGCGGCTTCAGGCTTTTCCTGTCAGCAAATAGGCTCACTTGTGTGACAGGCTCCCACGATGGGGTGAGAACCTAAGCGAGTACTCGTGCGATTCATGACTGATACTAGGACTGAGTAAATCTGCCTGACCGCGGTGCGGGACAAAGTTTCAGTTCATTTTGTTTTCAGAGAAGCAGACACCCTAATGATGTGGTAATGGGGACACTTCAGCAAGTTACCAGTAGCTACTTCAAAGGTTTTAAAAAGGATGCTGACAGTTAACGACTTCTGACGTTGAAGCAGTTCACCTGAAGTTGCGAGTCAGGTCCTGAGGCCAATGCCCAACTCCACGGTCTTCAGAGAAGGCCCAGCCCCCGGGAGCCGGGGCCCAGGGGCCCAGGCTCCTGCGACAACCGGACAAGCGCGCGACTCAGTCCCTGGTGAGGGGACGGCGCCTCCTTCGGGCTGTCAGTTTTACTTTATTTTGAAGAAGTACAAGAGAGCCAGCAACTTGGGGCAGGTAAGAAGGGAACCGTTCAGCCAGGTTTTATTTAGTTACGTCGCCTGTCTCACATGCTATCACCTCGGTGGGCACACGGAGCGGAGGAGGGACCCGAGGGGGACACGGCCACCGCTCCCCGCCCTCCATCTGTGCGCTGGAGATGAGCCCGGCCCACCGGTGCACAGCGTGCTGGGGTCTCGGACAAGCTTCCTCTCGCGTCTGTGGTTCAGTAGGGACTGACAGTTACAACTTAACGTCAGTTTTGAAGGTTTTAGAAGGAATTAAATGGAGAAGGTATTTGACAGGTCACTTGTGATTGATTTTTCAGGCCTACTTAATTATTTAAAATGACTATGGTTGGGTTTAAAATACAGAGGTGCAAATAAAAAATTCAAATGTGGAACAAAGATCTCTCTTTAGTTGTTAAAAAAAAAAGGACAAAACTAAGCACATAAAATTATATTACGAGTATCGGGGGAACTGCAACCATCATCAGAGATTACATTTTTTATATAGAAAAATAACGAACTTCTATATACACACATTGAATTAACGTGAAACAGAACTACAACCTTTTACATAACGGGATTTTTCTGCTACTAAAGACCATCTATCTGCTGCAAAATATATTTTGTGCGAAGATTAAAGACACTGTATTTCCAGAGAGTAGGAAAGGGAAGACGGCCACAGAGGCCCCACCATGAGGAGCCGAGGTTCTCCCCACACCCAGCCCACTGCCAGCGACGGGGGTGGTAACCACTGAGGACAGAAAAACAGACCTTTTTATCACTCTGAAATAGATGGTGCCAGCATGTCACTATTAAGAGGAGCACACATCTCACTCCTGACCCCTCAACGACACGCCCCAGAAAATCCTATTCTGTTCTCAACATGAACTTGGGCAGGGATGAGGGCGGTGCGGACGGAAGACTTAACAAAACAGAGAGAAACATACAAAAGGAATATATAAAACATGCATTCAGCCCAAATGAGGAGTGACTTCACGACACATTTTCTGAGAAGTTATGTTTACATATTTTAAAATCCTGTAAAAACCAGGTATATTGCAAGGGTTTAAAAACAAAGTCAGTGATGAAATGACGGTCAATTTTAACAGAGTTCATGCAATTATCTTAGTGGGAAAGCCACTGTCCCAAGTAACAAAATTTATGCCCCGTCACATGATTACATATTAGAATCATTTCTTAAAAGAAGTTACTTTGCACTTGGTGCTGACAGAGCTCTTGAGAAAGTGCTGTACAAATGGAAGGCTATAGAAATTTTTAAATGATAATTTTAAAATACCGTACAAAAAACGTGTAAACAAAAAGATGCTTTAGTGTTGCAGGGCGTTATAAAATCCGTCATAAGGATTAAGACAACAGATCATTTCTTGTGCATTTTATAAAATTGTTAGCATAATCCTATAAGTTCAAAGTTGCATTGTCAGCAGCAAAAGGTGCTGGGGGCGCGGCCGAACGCACAGGATGGGGAGTCCCCGCGGCCACTGCGTCTCTCCTGAAGGACCCGCCAGGCGTGCGGAAGGCCAGTCCCACCTGGGAGCTGCTCCAGCACTAAGACATTTATCCTCCTGTCATCCACCCTGGCAGAGAGGAAAACTGCTCTTAAAAGACTTTATAAACAGTACAAATTCAGGTAAAGCACTGAAAATTAGGTATGATTTTTTTGGCACAAAGCACTTTTAAAATCTGAGCTCACTTTGCAAAATATATGTCTGGAATTTCTTATTAAAAATAAAGACAGAATGGTCAATGGTTCTATGAATGAATGAATGAGAGTCTACGTGTCCTTAAACACCACACTCCCCTCCAGCTCACTTCAGTACCAGGCGTCGGCGTGCGCACCCCACATTCTAGCGTCTACGGATATTGCACAAGGGACATCGCCAGAGTACACACGGACGCACTCTGGCAAGATCAGAGGGTTACCTTTCGGTAGCATTTTCTGTAAGTGTTCAGATCCAATACCATTTCCCGAAAAGCGAGATGACCAATCTCAGAGAAAGAAGGCTCGCTGTCTTTCCTTGGCCCATAATATTAAAATCTGTACCAATGTATTTAGGCATTTCCTTTATGTTTTCCAGCATTTAAAATTCAGCAAAACCTGTTTCTGCTATTTCTTATAGCATTCCTTCAAAAACAGGAGAAGCTTCGTCTAATGTAAAAAAAAATTAAAATGAGTCCACAGGGCAGTAAGTTTTCCACCAAAGATCTTGCTCCATCCTGAAAAGCACTGCGGAACAATTAAGCCCGTCAACTTCCAGAGAGCCACTGAGTGCAAAGTCTGCTGCGAAATCGTGTCACATACCACGACAGCCGGATGTCCGTCTTGCCGCACAATGTAATTCAATCCTCTTTCTCCCTAAGATGTTTTAGGGTATGCTACAGCTGCTAAAAGGATTTCTGTTTTTCTTGGTCCTCTGTTTGTTGGGTCTAAGATTGATGACATCTCCACCATTAAGGGTGCTTGAATTCTGACCCAAGTGACTTCCACCAGATGCGCTAAAGACACCTGCGTAAATGGAGGGAAACACAGAGATCGACACTGATCCACCTCAGGGTACCTACTGCGCCCTGTGCGCCCAGCTTCTTAGTAACTCAGTAGTATTTGCAAGCATTCACACTTTAAGCTTTTGTTTTCATTTCACTTATTCTTAATGGCCAGCACACGTGGTTGGAAGTTCGCAGGGCACAGAAGGCGCGACAGTGAAGTCTCCCTTCCAGCCCACCACTGCCCCGCCGCTGTGTCAGTGCTCCTATGCATCCTCTCAAGAGAGCTGGCGCATCTGAGGGCAGACGTGCTTATGTATTCTCTCTTCCTCCCTTTGCTACCCAACCGGGGACATACTCCACGCGCTGTTCTGCAACTGTTCACTAACAACCTATTTTTGAAATTTGGATCTGAAAATACGATCATTTTAGTAACTTCACTTATTTAACTCCACATCATATAACTTCAAGGACCTGGCAATGCCCTGTAGTGAGGTCTGTTTTAGAGAAGTGAAGGCCGTAGTTTCAGCTGACAGACAGCTGAGAGCCTTCTGGAGAGTCCTCGAGGAACGCGCAGTTCTCTGACAGATGGGAAGGGAGCTCACTGTTGATGGAAGAGCCGCGGAAGCAAAGTGAGGAAGGTGGCCCCGAGGGGCCCAGGAGACGTGGGCCTACTGGGGGAACAGTAAATGGGGTGCACTGTGGGACAGTGGGGCCTGAGGCCACACAGCAAGGTGGACCAAACTGTTTTTACAAGCTAGGAGGAGAGACCCGCATGTGACGGGTTCCCCGGCGAGAATCTACCGCAGGGAGGGCCTTGCTCAGCGTCCTGGAAGGAGATGGGTGGGCCCAGGAGCCCAGATCAGAGAGCAGCTGGTCACGACTGCCCGTCGTTTCTCAGGGCGCTTGAGAACCATGTCTGCCAGGAGGAGCACATGCATTAAGAAGGGGAGAGTAAAGAAAAGGTAAAATAGGTCCAGAAAATGCTATGGGTGTGTGTGTGTGTAGTGAGGGATGGGTTGCAGACAGGGGTCCTCAGGAGACCTCGCACAGGACCCTCAGGGCAGAGAGCAGGTGCGCACCTTCCCAGGAGCCGCGGCCACAGTGAGAGGCGGAGAGCTGAGTGATCCTCAGGGAACGCGGAACTCCACCCACACTGGTTAAACACCAGGGGTGGGTGATCAGCAAGGCGGCAGGAGAGGGGAAAGGTGTGGAAACAAGGGTTCAGAAGGACAGGCCTCTACAGAAAGTCCTCCCTGCTGTCAATGCATCGGATGGGCTTCGAAAATTCATCAAGTATCTTTTAACTCAATATACCTTTTAATAAGAGACTTGATACTCCTAAGTTCAATAATCACTGTTCTAACACTTTCCAGTCGAGCACACCGCACTAAAAACAAAAAACGGCAAGCATGACACTAACGAACAGAAAGGAAGTCTCCCAGGTGGACGCGGGGCTAAGACTCCCCAGGTACTTACCAATCTTGTTCCTACTTGAATGCACCGACTCTGGACCCTCAGCTATCTGTTGTTTAAGTTTTTGAAGGTATTTTTCTGCCAAATATTTAAAAACTAGAATGAAAGCAAAAACAAAAACCTTACCAAGTCAGTACAATTTATGCACGTAAAATCTGTTATTTCACATCACTTACTACAATATTTACACTTACTAAACAAATTTAAAATTAAATTACAAGTATATAATCTAGCTGAAAAAATTCAACTTCTGAAACTTACCTGA